TCTATCTATCTATCTATCTATCTATCTATCTATCTATCTATCTATCTATCTATCTATCTATCATATATAATTCATCCATCCGTAGCCTACACTGTTCTCAGGGCTCAACTATCCTTTTTGCAGTTGATCAACGGTTTACAGAATATTGCTGGATTTCCTTACTACAGCAAATACCCAATTTTGCACGGTTTTCCTTCTTCTATCCAAACTTTTGGCAGCTAATGTTCTGCTGGCTTGGCCAGCATTAAGCATTCAGAGGCGGGGAAAATGAGAGAATATTACAAGCCAAAGGTATCAGCTGAATCCTGATAAGACCAAAGGGCTATATGGGTGCATGGATTTGAAACACTCAATAGCCCATAGATTCAAGCGAGGCGTTTTTACCAAAGTGAAAGCCGACAGCCAGATTCTACACACCCACAACTGCACAGCCTAGAGAAATAGAAGGAGCTGAATCCATCAGGGTTAAAAATTAATAACTCGGTCTGTGACCATGGAGCGTGTCTGAGCAAATGTGGGAAATTCCTGCCTGGTGGGATCTCCAGAAGAAGATGGATTAGCAAGGAGGGCTTTGGCTTATGATTTCCGTGCCTTGCAGGGGTGTGTGTGTGTGTGTGTGTGTGTGTGTGTGTATGTGTAATTCTCAGAACTGCACAAGTAATTCCTCGGATCCTTTTTGCACAAAGAAAATTTCTCCCTTCAACGACCAAGAGTGCTGGTTTATGGAATGCAGCCAAGAACTACGACCGATCTCTGGGTCGTATTTCCAAAAATTAGCAGCCAGGAACGAAAAAAAGGGACAGAAACGAGATTAAAGATTTCATTTCTGATCAAGAAGTCTTGAAGGAACTTCTTTTGCCAAAAGAGGGGCTTGCTCCCAGATGTTTGCCACCATCTAGCCCTGTGATGGTGAAACCTTTTTGGGCTCCTGTGCCAAAAATTGTGCGCTCACATACCAGCACCCAGAAGGCAATGTGCACGCCCCCCCGCCCCCCACGCATGCCCCCCCCCCCCCCGTATTTCCGGAAATACAGGAAGTGATGAAACAGGCCTATTTTTCAGCCTGCAAAGCCTGCAGAGGTTTCCCTCGAGCCTCTGGGAGGACGAAAAAGGCCTCAAACGGGTTGAAAATCAGCTGGGAGGCGCATGCATGCGCAGTGAGGTAAGTTTGCCTGGGGTTCATGTGCTCACACAAATGGCTCTGCGTGCCACAGGCTCGCCATCACGGGCCTCGCCAATACTTTTATCAATAAACCCATTTCCCCTGTTCCTTTCTTCCTTGCTCTTTCTACAAGGAGGTTCATGAACATTCAGTGACTTCCAAAAGAACTTCATGGTGAGCAGCTCTCAGCTCTCTTCTTTCACATAACCACAGCCAGCTAAACTGGCAGGTCCAAAACCAGAGCCCTGAAGATTTGAGGGCTTCTATTCACACAAGTTAAAAAGGATGCATCCAAAAAAAACCCCAACTTTTAGGCAGAAATAAAATCAGGATTTTGCAATTTGTCACAACCTGGAATGTACACGTACACACACACACACTCACTCACTCCCTCACACACACATACACA